CTGTGTCACTATTGAGGGTGATGTTTGGCATGAGGGATGTGTTCTCACTAGTTGACAAATAGTGTTTCAGAAGGTGAGTGAAATAATATTATGAGGGTGTGCATGGACTGGTTAGTGTCAGTTCAGTTCAGCTCAGTCACTCTGTCGTGTCCGATTCTTTGCAACCCCATGAATCGCAGCACGCCAGACCTCCCTGTCCATCACCAACTCCCAGAGTTTACTCAAACCCATGTCCATCGAGTTAGTGATGCCATCCAACCTCTCATCCTCTGTCGTCCCCTTCTCCTCCTGCCCCCAATCCCTCCCAGCATCAGGGTATTTTCCAATGAGTCAACTCTTTGCATGAGGTGGCCAAAGTACTGGTGCTTCAGCTTCAGCATCAGTCCTTCCAGTGAACACCCAGGACTGATCTTCTTTAGGATGGACTGGTTGGATCTCCTTGCAGTCGGACCTTTGTTGGCAAAGTAATGTCTCTGCTTTTTAATATGCTATCTAGATTGGTCATAACTTTCCTTCCAAGGAGTAAGTGTTTTTTAATTTCATGGCTGCAATCACCATCTGCAGTGATTTTGGAGCCCCCCCCCCCCAAAAAAAATGAAGTCTGACACTGTTTCCACTGTCTCCCCATCTATTTCCCATGAAGTGATGGGACCAGATGCCATGATCTTAGTTTTCTGAATGTTAAGCTTTAAGCCAACTTTTTCACTCTCCTCTTTCACTTTCACCAAGAGGCTTTTTAGTTCCTCTTCACTCTCTGCCATAAGGGTGGTGTCATCTGCATCTCTGAGGTTATTGATATTTCTCCTGGAAATCTTGATTCCAGCTTGTGCTTCTTCCAGCCCAGCATTTCTCATGATGTACTCTGCATATAAGTTAAATAAGTAGGGTGACAATTATACAGTCTTGGCATACTCCTTTTCCTATTTGAAACCAGTCTGTTGTTCCATGTCCAGTTCTAACTGTTGCTTCCTGACCTGCATACAGGTTTCTCAAGAGGCAGGTCAGGTGGTCTGGTATTCCCATCTCTTTCAGAATTTTCCACAGTTTATTGTGATCCACACAGTTGAAGGCTTTGTCTGGTTAGTGTAGCATGGTCTTATTCCTCATCCATTTCCACTGTCTTGGTCAGGGTTTCAGAGATTTGTTCCCCATTCATTCCCCAGATCCTCCCCCAATCTCAACTCAGATAGACGTATATAATTGTATGTGGGCATCTGCAAACCAGGCTCAATTATTATTGTTAGGGAAGTTATTGGTATTGTTGTAGGTCTAATAGCCATGCACTGTGCCACCTGTTTTCCAATTTTGGGGAAGAAGGTTCCATTTCCAGCCCCAAGGATTGGTGGTTAGGCTTTCACATGAGGTAGTTCCTTCCGAAGTGTGTCCTGGGAAGCTTTTAGCTTTAGCATATTTGAATCTAGCAACCCAGAGTTGAGAGGAGTTCAGTAGCTCCATAGTCTAGTTACCTTGGGAGGATGAGTTAAGTGCCCCAGTGAAGAGATCACGAGGCATCTTTATGAGTGATTTTCCATCTCACCAAGGGGGTAACTCACAAAGCATATGGGCATGATGCCAGACATTGTTTCAACTTCCCCGAACTTTAAGATATTTTTTTCCTTCCGAGTTAACTCATCTAGGTTTTGCAGAATTGAGAGTGGAACCTAACCAACTCCCATTGACTTGTGTTAGGTTGGCAAAGGATACAATAATGGCCAATAGGGAACACTCAAGCAAGTTACCATTGACACAATTTTGTTTTTTTAATGGCCAGATTAGGGAACACCCAACAGTTAGACTTGTTCATGCACTTGGTGACCTTGGTGATGGCTAGTCTTAAAGGATGTATCTATGAATAGTGTAAGCCAATGAAACAGACAAGAAAGAGGTGCCATATCATGGTATCTAGGGCATGAGGCTTGTGGGATCTGAGTATAACAAATATTGAAAGAGTTTCCCTGGGAAAAGCAAATCAAGAAGGCAATTGTAATAAAGCATAGGCAGAGCAGTAGGCTTAACCTGAGAAATTCAATTCCCTGAATATTCATCTGAATGGCACTAATCTGTAGTCCTGAATAGATAACAGAGGTCTCCCGGAAGTTCGCAGGTGTACTGAGCATCCCCTTTTTCCTTCCACAGCTTGACTCGAGAGTGGTAAATCTAGGAGTTGTGTCCTGGTACCTTGACTGTTGTAGGAGTAAAAAAGTAGGGTATGGGAACTTCCATGTAGGCTGAAGTTGAGACCCTGGAGATTCATCTTTCTGAACTTTGATTAGCACCTAGGTCCCAAGAGCATACAAAGGTGACTATTTGAGCTCCTTTGAGTCCTGATTATTTGCCCCTAAGCATATCTCTCACTGAAATTGCCCAACAGCCACAGCATAGGAACAAAGAGCTTGGGTTTCTGGGTCTAGGAGGAGGTCATTTACATAGACAAAGCGTCTCCCATATAATGTCTCACAGGGACTGAGACTGACTTGTTCTTTAGGTGCAATGCAAGTGCTAAGGAGAGCTAAAGGTAGGGCCTTTCTCCACCCCAGAGGTCTCTTGGATTCTTTCTTATTGCTATTTTTAAAAATTGGTTGGCTCTCTCTACTTTTCCTGAAGACTGAGGTCTCCAGGCACAGTGTAGACAATAGTTTATACCTAGAGCTTATTTTTTTGTTTTTATTTCTTTTTTTTAATATTTATTTCAATTGGAGGCTAATTACTTTACAAAATTGCAGTGGTTTTTACCATACATTGACATGAATCAGCCATGGGTGTACATGTGTTTACCATCTTGAACCCCCCTTCCACCTCCCTTCCCATCCCATCCCTCAGGGTCATCCTAGTTCGCCAGCCCTGGGGACCCTGTCTCATGTATCAAACCTGGACTGGTGATCTATTTCACATACAATAATATACATGTTCAATGCTATTCTCTCAAATCATCCCACCCTTGCCTTCTCCCACAGAGTCCAAAAGTCTGTTCTTTACATCTGTGTCTCTTTTGCTGTCTTGCATATAGGGTCATCATTACCATCTTTCTAAATTCCATATATATCCATCAATATACTGTTGCAGTACCCGGGCTTCTCATTGCGGTGGCTTCTCCTGCTGCAGAACATGGGCTCTAGGGTGCCTGGGCTTCAGTAGTTGTGGCACATGGGCTCAGTAGTTGTGGTTCCCAGGCTCTAGAGCATAGGCTCAATAGTTATAGTTCACAGGCTTAGTTGCTCCACAGCATATGGGATCTTCCCAGTTCAGGGATTGAACCTGTGTCTCCTGAATTGGCCGGCAGATTCTTTACCACTGTGCCACCAGGGAAGCTCCAAGAACACATTCTTAGAGATGAAAAGGAAGTTGGGAGGGCTATAGTAAACAAAAAAACCATGGCTTTTCATTGACTTAGTCCTTGCTAAGAAGGGCTTCCCCAGTAACTCAGATGGTAAATAATCTGCCTGCAGTGCAGGAGATCCCTGGCTGGGATCCTTGAAATTTGATCCCTGGGTGGGGAAGATCCCCTAGAGAAGGGAATGGCAACCCACTCCAATACTCTTACCTGGAGAATCTCCTGGATAGAGGAGCCTGGCGGACTATAGTCCATAGGGTTGCAAAGAGTTAGATATGACTGAGCGACTAACAGTTTCACTTCACTTGCTAGGAAAGGACTCTTCTTGTTGGGCTCTGCTATCATTACAGGTCCTAAGAGCTCCCCGTTCTGATCTCTGGACTTTATTTATTTTTATTTTTTTATTTTTAACTTTTCATTTTGTATTAGAATATAATCAATGTTGCAATAGTTTCTGGTGAATAGCAAAGAGACTCAGCCATACATATACATGTAGCCATTCTCCCCTAGACTCCCCTCCCATACAGGACGTCTAATGAGGTGGATGAACCTAGAGCCAATTATACAAAGTGAAGTAAGTCAGAAAGCGAAAGACAAATACTGTATATTAATGCATATATGGACTTTATTTAATTGAAGTTTTTATTAGTTTTTTATACCTGTTCCATCCAAATTGTTAACTTCTCTCCACATCCAATCCTCTTAGGGATGAATATTACAGGTGGAAAAAACCTGTACTATGTTTATGTGACTTAGGAATATTGAGGAGGAACTTTAAGAATGTCAGCTCAAGGAACTATTTATCTTTTCTGGTCTGTAGTTAGATAAACCTACAATTTAGTAGTTGTGAGACCGTGGACAACTCATTTATTTTTTTGGACCCTTGGTTTCCTTATTGCAAAATGGGCTACTAGCTACCTTATGGAGTAGTTATGAAGACCGAATGAGAAAATATGCATAAATATACTCAGTAGGGTATCTAATGCATAATACCATGCTATACAATTATTTCACAGATGTTAGTTACTTCCCTCTTTTTCCACTTGGAGGTCAGGATTTTGTAAAAGAAAGAAGGATTGTGATCAAAAACAGATGGTTATGTTGATATCAAAGGAGAGGACTTGGTCTTAGCTAAAATGTACTTCTGGCAAGAGAAAGTCTGTCTCTCTTTCAATCATTATCTCTCACTCTCTCATTCTCATTTTTGTGCTTTATATGCATTATCTCATTTTTGAATCCTAATAATTCTGCAAGTTAGGTGTTATCACAATCCCTTTTATGTAGATGAAGAAACTGAAACTTAGAGAGATAAATTAACTTGCCCCAGGCCTCACATTGAGTAAAGGTTAAAGTTTATAGCAGATGCAGAATCCTCACTTCCTCCATCCTAATACTAACCAAACACACGAAAAGTGCCTAAGAAAGAGTAAACAAATAGATGCTATTTTCTTTAAATAAGTTAGTTTATTTTCCTTTTCTACACTCCTTGATGTCTTTTAAGCTCTTTGTAGTTGGATCTTTGATCACATTTATTGATAATACATAGTAACCCTGCCTGAATTTGGAAGCTGGATCAGATGATATTTCAGATTGGAAGTTCTGTTTAAGCAAAGTGTTGGCCCACACCCCAACCCCATGAGTAACTGATCCTGAACAGTTTTCTTTGCAGACTTTCTTTCCCCCAGCTGAACCATCACCAAGGACTGTACCACTCAAAATCCTTCTGGAAAAATGCCATTCTCTGTCCGTCTCACAGAGCATCCCCATGGAGCTGGATCAAGTGGGTTGGAGGAGATCCAGGAAGCTTTACACAGGTATGACTCTTATGCCCTTTTTTTCTTGAAGTGGGACATGCTTGGCAGGCCTCATGCACAGACAGATTGTGTTGACATTACCCTATTTCTCTGACAACCCTTCCTCCCAGTTCCCTAGTACTCTTCCTCATTGACACTTGAAAATTCACATTAGCAATGACAAGGTATAGATTTTTCCCTCTCCATGCTCTTCTTTTCTTATTTGGGACCTTTAATCTCAATACACTCAAATATCCCATCTTGCTAAAGCCTTATCCCCCGCCCCCCCAGGCCCTCTATACCCAGTACCTTCCAGGTCTCATAAATTCTAGTTTCCCCTCTTCACCATTTTCACAGTACTCCTATATACACCTTCCTCCTGGCCTCAAATGGACCAGTCCCATTGTTCCCACCTCCCATGGTGTCATTCTAGCCATGTCTCTCTTGCATCTTGCCTAGATTTACTCTCTGTGGGTCCCAGTTCCTCCCCTGTTTTGCTGACCACTGACCATGGAAAGCCCCTCAAGGCTCAAGGCAACTTCATTTACCTCACTCAAAACAGAGATTTTCCCCAACCAAAACCAGTTACCTCCTAGAGCTTCAGGGTATACTCTTTCTAACTCAGGTCACTGACCCTGCTTGCTAGACTCTTGTCACTTGCAAGTAAAGCTCCATCTTTTGGTACAACTGGGAGAATTCATGCTCTCTTACCCATGGGCCTTAGACCACACACTAACAGTCTCCTAACAGACCCCACCATCAGTCACTTTTACAGCAACGTAATTTGCATGAATATTAAGGATACACAAGATTTCATAACATTCCTTTCCAAAGTTTTCTATAGTGTCTACAAGCTCTGGGACCTTGATCCTAATTCTCTATGAGCCAAAGATTCCTTCAATCCCAAGGATCTGTAGCTTTTTTTGAACTGGCCACCTCTTTTTTATTATCTTCACTCCATGTGTGGAGAACATGGGGGATGCTTTGATTTGGAGCTTATTTCCAACCCTGCGATTCCTTGCCAGAATTCCGTTAAGGTAGGAGCCAAAGAAATTGCAAGCTTGGGTCTTTTGTAGCATCATCTCCCTCAGAAATCCCCAGAAGCCCACAAGTTGGTGAAAGGGAAGAGTAAAGAATTCTGAAGGGAGATCATCCTTCACAGTCAAAACTAGGAGGGTCCTTAGAGGTTGCTCAGTCCTCTTGATTTATGAATGGGGAAATAGGCTGATACAGGGAAAGGGACCTGTTCAAGGTCATAAGTCAGTTCATAACAGAGTTAAGACAGGACTTCAACCTCCTAACTTTCAACCATGTCAGAATGTGACTTTACTACAGTTCTAGAACAAAGTCTTAAACATTGCAATTACAAACTTTGATTACTTTCAAACTCACCTGTACTGAGGTAACCAGTCACCTCCTTCCCCTTAAAGAAGACTGCAAGTGGTGGACACAAATCAAGCCATCAAAGTGGCAGCAGATGCCTACCATAATGTCTAAGTCCTCTGCCTGAGAATAAAGCATGCTCTCATAATCCCCTGGGAGATCAGGCCAGGAGTATAAAGCAGGGGATATGGTCAGAGCTGCTTCCTTCCTCTCTCCCTCTTAGAAAATGAGCCCAACCCTTTAGCAATTCAGAAGCTTTTTAGCAGCTGCTCCACTCCACTGCCAATTGCTTCAGAGTGCCCCACCCCCACCATGCTGCTGACTGTTAACAGCAAATAACAATCCCTTAGGGAGAGTCTGGCAAAGTCAGGATTCATAGTTACCTTGAGGACTGCTCTGGGCTTATTTATAAGCCATGGGTGGGAAAATGTACCCCTGAGTTTGGCACTTTCACCTCAGGGATATAAGTGGCTCCCATGTTCTCAAGGTCCCAAACAGACACTTGGGTTAAAAATATCCCTAGGAAGGAGGATGATATCAGGATTCCATTTGGGAAGCCTGTTTCAGCTCCTCTTACAACCCTGACTGTGATAGCAATGAGATCCAAGGATCCCATTCCCACTATATTTAGTACCTGTTTTACTTCCATATTGCTCAGGGCTCTACCGGTTCCTTCCTCTTGGCATCTAATCAGGAGTTTCTTAAGGCAGACTATTATAGTGGAAAGAATCAGCTTTGAAGTTGAACAGACCCAAGTTCAAATGTCTGTTCCACCACCTTGTGCAAGTTGCATATCCTCTTTGCACCTCAGTTTCACCATCTGAGGAATGAGATGCCGGATAATATCTGACTCATGGGATCATTGTGAAGATTAAGTGAAACAGAATCTATGAATGTCCCTGCCACACTTTCTGGCTTGCAGAGTTATCAGTGATAGCAGTTTTCTTTTCCCCACTGCTCTCTACCAGTTCTGAATACCCAAGGACTTACCCCACCTATACACAAACAGACATTACTATGGGGCCCAACTTGAATTTGCTAGTTCCTCTGATTGTTCATTCATTTTCTCATTCACTGAACACATATTTATTGAACAAAATTAGAAAGTCAGTGGAGTTTGCTCTCCAATAGACTGATGTGCTGGAAGGAGCAAAAATTTTGAAATCAGACTTACCTGGATTTGACTCTTGGCTCTGTCACTTATTAGCTATGTGATGTGGAATAAATCACTTTACTACTTTGAGACTTAGTTTTCTTATCTGTAATGTTAGGGTAATAATTTGAACGTCACAAGTTCAAGGTGCTATACAACTAGATGGGAATGATAGTAATAGTAATAACAATAAACAAGTTAAGAAATAAGAGCTATGTCATACCTATCCAGGGCCCTTACATATATATAATCAATTATATTATGATAATATTGTGTGTGTGTGTGTGTGTGTACACACACACACACACACACACATATATATATATGGCAATATTGGAAGTCGAGATTTACTTTCTAAATGAAGTATTGAAAAAGTGGAAGTGTTAGTCGCTTAGACATGTCAGACTCCATCAAGTGTAACCCCATCAACTGTAGCCTGCTAGGCTCCTCTATCCATGGAATTCTCCAGGCAAGAATACTGGAGTGGGTTGCCATTACTTTCTTCAAGGTATCTTCCTGACCCTGGGATTGAACCCTGGGCTCCTGCATTGGAGGCAGATTCTTTACCATCTGAGCCACCAGGGAAGCCCAAATGAAGTGTGTGTGTGTGTGTGTGTGTGTGTGTGTGGCAGGGTGGGGGGGTTGGGGGGAGAGTGGCACTTCCTACTTGAAAGGGCCAGAATTCTAGAAGCAGGCCCTAGGCAAGAATTACCCTTATGCATATCACCCCACATATTTGCTGAGCTGTGCTCAAACCCCTTGAAGCTTGGCTAACTCAGAAGCTCTTATGGCAATGATATTCAAATAATTTCCCACTGAAGATCTATCCCTCCCAGTAGGGATGACTTTAGGTTCATATTGATCTAGAGTGTTGGAAGGTATAGCAAGAAGAACCTAATGCCACTCAGTTAAATGGCTCTGGGGCAGTTGTAAGCAATGCTAAGCAAGACATTGGCTGCAGCAAGGTAACAACAAACTGATGTATCTTTATCTATTATTTTAGTATATCTGTGGTGATGGTATCCTTTAGCCATGCTTGATGACTGAGCCAGGTGTTAGAAGACCTGAGTTCTCTTACTGGTTTTCTTTTCTTTTTTTCAAGTGTAGTCGATTTAGAGTATTGTGTTAGTTTCAGGGGCATGTCATAGTGATTCAGTATTTTTGCAGGTTATATTCCTTTACAGGTTATGGGTAAGATAATAGGTATAATTACCTATACTATATAGTATATCCTTGTTGCTTATCTATTTTATATATAATAGTTTATGCAAATTCCAAAACAGTAGTAATATAGACTATTTCACAGCATTTTAACATCTACTTAGCAGTCAATTTTTGCATTTTGTCTCCTCTAAGCAAATACACTAGATTAAAACAACAGTGCCCTTAACCCCAAGTTCAGTGCCTGAGTATTTCCAATATTTATTTTGAGCACATAATAAAGCAGAGGCAATTACTTTTCTTGAACATTTTATTTCCATTCAGAGCTTAGAAATTACTTTAGCTTCACATTATTCTTTCATAAATGATAATCAAATGACCTAGATAAGTGGTTAAAATCATGAAACTATTGTAAGCCAAGTCAATGGTATATATATAAAGTTAAAATAAAATGACAACTATACTGGTACATATTTGTTTTGAACCCTACTAAAATATGCCAAAATAACAAGCTTTAGTAAAGAATGAGGTCCTTGGGTAGACAGGGGGATGAAGAGTTATATCATCAGAAATTAGGAAACTAGGCAAATATATATATATATATATATATATATATATATATATATATATATATATATATATATATATATACAATTTAACCAAATAAAGGAGTAAAGAAGAGTACAACAGCGGGGCAATGACAATTTAGGAAAACATATTCACCATCCATCACAGACTTGCTCACCAGATCAAGAGCACAGCACCAGGCTCTTCAGGCATTGCTACTCTCCCACTAAGTTTCTTTATGTGGAACATAAACCTACATTTATGGTAACAACTGGATTTTATACTGCTCTTTAATCTCACAGCAAAAAAACAGGAAAATTTTGTTAGGGCCAGACTCAACCTCAGACCATGTCTGTCAGACCATGTATGTCTGTTAATCTCATACTCCTAATTTATCCCTCTCCCCTTAACTCTCTTCTTTGGCAATCACAAGCTTATTTTCTATATCTGTGAGTCTGTTTCTATTTTGCATATTGACTTACTTGTTTGTTTGTTTGTTTGTTTTTTTTTTTTAGATTTTACCTATAAGTAGTAGCATATAGTACCATTCTTTCTCTGACTTATTAGACTAAGCATATTATTCTCTAGGTCCATCCACATTGTTGCAAATGGCAATATTTCTTTTTTTTTTTTTTGGCTTCAGGATCTTTTGTGGTTCCATATACATTTTGGGAGGGCTTCCCTCAGATCAGTTGGTAAAGAATCTGCCTGCAATGCAGGAGACTCTGGTTCAATTCCTGGGTCAGGAAGATCCACTGGAGAAGGGATATGCTATCCATTCCAGTATTCTTGGGCTTCCCTTGTGACTCAGCAGGTAAAGAATCAGCCTGCAATGTGGGAGACCTAGTTTCAATCCTTGGTTGGGAAGATCCCTGGGAGAAGGAAAAGGCTACCCACTCCAATATTCTGGCATGGAGAATTCCATGGACTGTATAGTTCATGGGGTCACAAAGATTAGAACATGACTGAGCAGCTTTCATGTCACATATATTTTGGGATAACTTGTTATAGTTCTGTGAAAAATGTCATGAGTATTTTGGTAGGGATTACTTTAAATCTGTAGATTGCTTTGGGGAGTATGGCCATTTAAACAATATTGCTTCTTCCAATTCAAGAGCACTGGATATCTTTCCATACCTTTTGTCATCTCCAATTTCATTCATTAATACTTTATAGTTTTCAGAGTGTAGGTCTTTCAACTCCTTGGTTAAATTTACTTCTGCATAGCTTTATGTGATTTTTAAATGATACTTTTTAAAAAATTTCCTTTCTGATATTTCTCCCCATTACTGGAATCACTTGCACATAACCTTACCTCCCATGCCTCATTCACCTCAGTCCTGGTGGTTCTGAGTGGTATACAAGGTTGACCAACAGCCAGAACCTCTCTAAAAGAAGCTGCAGTCGGTATTCAATCTAAAGGGTATTCTTTTACCACAGATAACTTGGACCAGGGCTCCAAGACACTAGAAACCTGCAAGAACATCAGTGGATACTTGAAACCTCAGGGAACAGGAACTGAGCATATTAATGAGGTAAGATCTCTTTTCTTAGTTCCTTTGGAACTTACTGGGCATCCAAGGCTATTTATTTTCTCTAAGCTTTCTTTTTATTAGACAGAACATATTAATGAGGTAAGATCTCTTTCTTAGTTCCTTTGGAACTTACTGAGCATCCAAGACCATTTATTTTCTCTAAGCTTTCTTTTTATTAGACAAATTGCAAGTATTAGAGCTTCCAGTATGTGGAATGGAGACAATTTTTAAATGGTTTTAAAATGGGTTTATTTTATGACTTCCAAAAAAAATTGGAAGCATTAACCTTTTCTCCCTGAGGTTAATTTTCCTATGAGATAAATTGAGGATTTTTTATGACTTCCACACACCCTGCTGCTGCCAATGTATTTGGCTGCCTTTCCTGTAGCAGACTTGATGGTGGACTGTGAGATTTTTAAGGCATATGTAGTTTGATCTACTTTTATTATATCCCTTGGGTTCATGATCATCTTCAGTGCTAACTGGTGGCATGTTTATATGTGTTTCCTTGGAGAAGATGTTTTATAAATGCAGAAATAATACCTGATGCTTAGGAGTTCAGAGGCTTCTCTACCTTCATGTCTTCATATCCATGTCTGTTGAGTACTTATGTGAGTGTAGTAAGTGTAGTTTTTCTTGTTATACCTCTGTGCATGTGCATGCTTGTTCACATATACCTATTAATATATATGCATCTTTGTCCATCTACATATCTGAATCAGAGTACTTCTTTTATGCATGTATGGATGTCCTTGAGCATGACTACAATGTGTTTTTTTAAGTGAAGTCTTTGTTTGTGTGTGCCCCCCCCTTTCTGTCTCTCCCTTTATACATAGCTATATCTCTCTATATCAATATATTTTTATCTGAGTTTATCTTTGGGTATTTTGACATTTGATACTTTTTTGTAAGCATTTGTATCTATGGGTCTGTTAATTTGCATCTTTTTGCTTGAGGTGTGTGCAGATAACTGTTTTCTAATATGTCTCTATGTCTACATGAGTCAGTCTATGTGAGAACAAGTATCTACAGCTCTGTGGTTAAACCCTGGTGAAAAATTACAGCTAAGAATGCAATCCCCAGAGATATCTGACCTAGTGACTTAGCTGTCACTAATCATTACCCTCCAACTTGAATATTCTTGCTCAGAAATAGACATCTAGTCATAGCAGTTCAAGCCTGTTTCATGACAAAAACTCTTGGTCAAGGAGAGGTGTCAAGAAGTTGAGAGTTTTGTTTTGTTTTGTTAGTTTGGTAGTTGCAAAGTGTGGCCCAGAGGAAAAGTTCTGTGGCTCTTGGCTTGCCTTCTGTTTGCTGCCTCTGATCACTTGCTTTCTTGCCAGCCGTCCCTCACTTGAGTTCCTTGGTCTAGATTCAAACTGGTTCATTAATCCTAACACAAAGGGCATCAACAGACAAAGCTGAACAATTGTTTTCATTTCAGCCAGATCTCCATGCTGGTCCTCTTTTTACTCAGAGAACAAATGATCAGCATACTTCTAATCAATAGTTTTTGTATGCTCAAAGGTAACAACTAGTCATGTGTGATAAAGCCCTTGCTTTGGGGAAGCCAGACTTTGTAAGGCCCCAGGAAGTGAAATCCAGGGAGGTGGTTCCAGCAGGATAAAGTGTCCATACTCAATGATTAAAGGGAATGATGGAAGTCACCAAGAAAGCCTTGATAAGCTCTATGGCATTCACAGTACTTGAAATACTTAAGCAATTGTTTTTGTAGTCCCGGTCCATCCTTGGTCTTTTTATGAGAGTAATAATAGTAATAAAAATGGCTTACATCAAATGGTCTGAATTCTCAGGAAGAAAGGAGCTTTAAAATCCAAGGCTAGAAAGATAATACAGTTAGGTGTAGTATAATTAACACAGACTTGATAATCAAGACACCCAAGTCCAATACTGGTTTTGTTAATGTTAGCTAATCTTAAGGTTGTTTAAGATCAACTTGAGACTTATTCTCTAACTCTATTAAATAGGGGCAATAATACGATGCCTTGCCCTCCCAGGATATGAGGCTCCAAAGAGATAATGAATATGGCTGCATTTTAAAAACTTTAACACATATTATTGTGATCAGAATCTCTACTCTGTATAGAAAAAATTAACCAGATCCAGAGACTGCCTATAACTTAGAGTTAGGGGAAACACATTGGATCCTGAAACTCAAACTCATCCTCCCCAACTCTTCTAAACTACTTTCTCCTCATCAACTGATTAATAAGAGAGAATCTAGAGCATTTTGGTTCAGTTTTATTAATATATAACTTACTCAAATTAAAACTCACCAAGTTTAAGTGTGAAATTCGATGCAGTTTGAAAAATATGTATAGTCATATAACCATCAACACAATCATGATATAGAACATTTTTATCACCCTGAAAAGTTCCCTCATGTCCCTTTCTATTCTATGCTGTCCTTCCACTCCTCTGGAAGTTACTGATATACTTTTGATCTCTATAATTTTGCCAGTATTTTTGAACCTGTGATAATTTGTCCTCAAAAAGTTGTGAGGACAGTAATGATCCCTATTCTGAATCTTGCAGGGAACTGAAATGATTTTTTCTAAGTCACGCATTATGTTTGTTTATTCATTAATTTCTTCATTCAGAAGACAGACTATGTGCCAGGAACTGAGCTGGGTGCTTGGATACAGAATTTAAAAAGACAAATATGCCCTCAAGGAATCCATGGTCTGATTAGGAGAGAACAATATACCAGTGAGGAATCAGACCAGTGGGATACATCCTAAGGAAAAAAATATTGAGCCCAAGTTTGTAAAAGAAGTGCTTCACTGTTTGAAAAAGTCAGGGAAACAGATTAGATCCTGAATCCCAGAAGATGTGTTCTTTGAAAAATGATCAGGAGTTCTGAAAATGGTGTGTGTGTCTGGAGTGGGTGGTGAGAGGTATGGGATTGTTGTGAAGATAACAATCAGCACACCAGGCTTGGGAAACTGCAAGATGGATGGATGAGGAGGTGGACATCCTGGAAAATTTCAAGAGTCTTAAAGGACAGGAGTATTAGTGGGCTTGATAATAATCATGACATCAAGTTGGCAACTTTTAGAGAGTGCCAGAGAGACAATTATCTTCTGAAATCCTGGGGTATTGGGGCTTTCAAGACTGGAGTTGTACAAAAGTTCAGTGTTGAGGACAGAATTCCTTGCTCAGAATGCAAAGATATATTATCTCAGGACCTGGAGGATCTTGCAAATTTCCATTTGCATTTTACCAAGAGCACAAGATCAGTAGAGGCTATATTCTTCTCAGCCCACACTTGGCTACATACTCAATATTATGGGAGCTTCAGATTGTGGGAAACTCAGAGCTGGGAGTGATGTGTATGTCATGAAATTGTTATGCTGCCAGCATTGCTGTAGCTCACTATGAACTTTAGAACAAGGTGAACCTCACTCTCCCAGAAGCCAAAACATTCGTTGAAGGGAAAGCTTTCCTCAGAAACTGGGCTCTGGAGTCAGACAGGTAGGGATTTCCATCTCCATCCTGGCTGGGGTAAGGACCTGAGAGGGTTTTTTCCCCTCCTGATACAAACCAATTCTTTGATTCTGTGATTCTATAACACCAAATGGTGTCTTACAATTCAATTAAATTCTGACACTAACTACACAGAATTAGCATCAGACTGCACAGGTTTAAGAGCACAGTCCTACAAGACTGCCCTCATTTTAGACAACAGTCTTAAGTATCAGGTCCCTGGGTTACTCACACTTTTGTCCTACTAGCTACAAATTTGAGAGTTCCTACTACCCCCACCCCCAATTTACTAGGACACCTCACAGGACTCAGGAAAGTACTTTACTTACTTTTACTGGTTTATTATAAAGGATGCTGCTGAGGAACAGCCAAATGGAAGAGGTACAAAGGGAAAGGTATGGGAAGAGGGGTGTAGAGTTTCCATGCCTTCTCTAGGCACACTGCCCTCCTAGAACCTTCACTAACCTGCAAGGCAGCTCTCCAAGCCCTGCTGTTTAGGAGGGTTTATGGAAATTTCATTTTGTTGGCACAGTTGAATAAATCATTGGCTTTTGGTGGCTGCACTCAATCTTGGGCCCCTCTCTCTCCAGGGTAAAGTTCTAACTCTAATCACATGCTTTAGTTTCTTTGATGACAAGCCCCCATCCTGAAGCTACCTAAGGGCCCCTATTGATTAGTTATACCTATAGCTTATAAAAGATACTCTTGTCACTCTGGAGTTTCCAAAGGTTTTGGAAGATCATGTGCCAGGAGCTGGGGACAAGGACCAAATATTTAACTTTATTTATACCACAGTACCCAAAGATCCCTTCTGATGGCAAGCCATTGAGATAGTACTAAATGAAGAGTCAGAAGTCCTGGGCTCTAGCCCTGGTCTTGGGTAACTTGGGGACCTTTTTCTTCCTTCACATCCCTAGGCCTACGTTCCTTCCTCTTGAAATAAAAAAAAAAATGGATGCCCTCAAAGGTCCCTTTAGCCTAACCAAAGGTGTATTGTGGTATCCAAAGAGGTCTCCATAGCTATACTCATAAAGCCAGGCCCCACTACTGTCTGGATTGCCCAGGAAATAGGTGCTCCAGGTACACAGAGGAAGCAGCACTGGATAGAGCAAAGTGATTAGAGATGTTTTTTTTTCCCTTCTGCTCCACTTAATTCCAGGGCTGAAACTAAGATGAGGTGAGTAAGGCACAAAATTTAAGGAGGGTGCCAAAAAAAATCAATAATAAGTATAAATAATACTTTAATAAAGTATTTTAAAAGACTGAAAATTAATGTAAAAATTCACATTTGACAAAATATCAGAATTTAAAATAAATACAAGATCAGTATTACTGATTTTTCTTTTTTTCCTTGGTTTACAATATGGCTTGGCACAGCATTGCTCAATTTCCTTTCATTTCTCTCCAGCTGACAAATTATACCTCAATAAGGGATCCAAGATAAAGCTGAATTTCTGCATTATGACAATTGGGTTTGTGACCTACTTTTTAAG